CTGAGACAAAAATTTAAGGAAATTGATATATTAACTCTGGCCTCTCAATACATTTATGAAAATGTAATATACGTACACAAAAATAAAAGTAGTTTTGCGAAAATAAGTGATATTCATTCTGTAAATACTAGAACACACAACATATACCAGTTACTCCACCCACCTAGTCACTAATTCTTTCATTCTGTAAATACTAGGAACAGACACAAGCTAGTAGTACCAGTTACTCCACTCCACCTAGTCAGTAATTCATTCTTGGGGCGATGTATGCGCATTTATAACAAAATCCCAAAAAATATAAAAAAAAAATTGTCATACACGAAGTTCAAAAATGTTATTAAACTAAGTTTGTATAAAAAGGGTTATTATAATATTAAGGAATTTATGGATGATAACCCCTGGGAAGGGTGATCGCTACCAAGCTATTTCTAATTTGTATTGTGTTGTTTATTGTAAACATAATTGTAAGCTATTATTGGAAAAAAATAGTCCCGCTGGGTTTCTTGCTGGTTCTTCCCAGGACAGAGGTTTTTTTTTGCGAACCAGTGGTAAATGAAAAAAGTGACTTTCAATAAGTATTGTTACAATCTACATTGAAAAAAAAGTTTCTGTTTCTGCGAACTTGACCCCCGCCTTACCTTTCTTCGAACCGCTCCCACCTCCCCTCCCCCCGGCCTGGACGACACTAGCGGAGGCCGTCGGAACGAGGCGAAATCTGCGCCTTGGGTCTTCGTCACTCTCACCGGTGGCGTTCCAGCCTCACCCCGAGAGGTGGAGGGCTGAGGGGATTGGGGTTGGGGTTGGGGCGGTTTGGGCTCCATTGCCGCGTCAGAGCCTCCCCTGACTTTAAAAGTTATCATCTTAAAGCCAAGAATGACTCTGCCGCCTGCCTTCCGAAGAGCCTCCGCCGATGGGTCGTCCAGAGAAAAAGTTACTAAGAACTCATTCTTCTCGTCCCTACTGTGGAGGATTCTCCAGAGCTCAGTATGGATCCCTTCATTTTGTGCCCTCAACAGCACAGCCGCCTCGTCTGGAGAGTCGGCTTCGCTGCGGAGCAAGTAGGTAATTCCCAGCGTAGGCTTAGGCAGTTCGCCCTCGGGTATTACCGAGAGCTCTGCCTCCGGCCAGGGCTTTAGTTTTCCGATTTCACCCACAATCCAGTCCTGGCTTGCCTTATTCAGGCACGTTACCAGAATCCAACCTGGCTTGTGTGTGAAACCGGAAAATTTTGGGCCCATTACCGGTGCGACCCACAGGCCGTCTTAGCGATGGCCTGTGTTAGTGCCCGGTGGACCAGCCGCATCTGCTCCATACTCATAGGATTCAAATTGCGAATTCCTATACGCGCGGAGCCAGCTACGGCACTGAAGCTGAGCTTCTTCTCCTCCGTTGCCAGCTTCACAGTTTTCCTGGGCTGGTCTTTGGGGGACTCTTCCTCAGACTGACTGCGTTTTTTCGCCTTCGGAACTGGGGGAGGCTTGGGCAGAGGAATTTCGTCCAAAGGCTTCTGGCAGAGAGAGAGGGCCTCTTCGGCTCCAATCTCAGCTGCTATCAGCATTCGGTACATTTTCCTCGCAGCCCCACTAAGCTTATAAGGTCTAGCGAACTTTTTCTTTTCCCCTCCCTGGTTCGTTTCCGATTGTGGTTCGGCTGCAAACGCGCCCTCCACTTCACGGCTCGTCCCAGGTTGGGACGCACTGTTGCAGGGTGTTGGTGAGGCTAAAAGAGCCTCTTCCAAACCTGCAGCTAATTCCATTAAACGAGACTTCTCACTGTCTTTTACAAAATGTCGGTATTAATCCATTTTGTTCCTACGAGTAGCTAGGGAAATACTTGGTCAACCCCGGCAGAGCCCCGCATGCCGAGGGAAGGGCTAAAATACTACCCGAATCGCCCTGGTCTCGGGTAGGCACGGTTTGCGACTGGACTCCCTCCAGCCACGCATCCATCGGCACGGTACGCTTGACACCTTGGATTGGGTTGGGATAGGAAAAGGGGGAGGGATAAAAGAAAAGAAAAAGAGGATCGTTCGAGTGTTTCTGTTCTGTCTGTTTCCTATTGAACCAGACCAAATAACAGGCGGCAACCACGTGAAGGAGAACTCCTCAGACTTGCCCTGGGGATCAACACGACCTGCGCTCTCCCCCAGAGCCATACGCCAAACTGCTCGCCGGACAGGAGAGCAGAAAAGGTGTTAATCTAGTCCTATTTATAATAACAAAAAGTTAGGAGTAGACTAACCCCTCCCGAACACAGGTTTACTTCGAAAGCGATACTAATTTGAAAATGAAAGTAACAAAACTGTTTTTCCCCCAATTTTTTTTTTTGCAAAGGTGTAATAATTATAAATTAAAACCTTTATTCCAGGTACTATTTGTTTAACTTGTACGTCAAAAGCATATTTAACTATAAATAATTAAAACAAAAACATTTTTTGTTTACGACAAGGTCGAGGTCAAGGGCCTCACTTAGCTCTACTCGAAATCGGGACAAAAAATAGGGAGGTTCCCAAAAAAAAACTCATTACTAAATCAAATTTAGACAAAATCAATCATGCAGATATATATGTTTTATATATGTATGTTATATATATATATATATATATATATATATATATATATATATAAAAAAAAAAAATATATATATATTATATACGTTACAAATAGTTTTCTATCACTCGACGCCATAATATGGTGTTTGGACAGACTAGGGGTTAACAGCACAATGATGAGAAACTCGCACGTCTCCACCCAGTTTTAGTCAATCGCTCGTCCCCATTGCTTCCGCATGACGACGCCGCTCATACTGCACAAAAAACGGTCTCCAAGTTACAATAGCTGGGTTCGTAAGCTCTCCATCATTCGCCGTACTCACCAGATTTTGCGCCTTCAGACTTTTACTTTTTCCAGAATTTGGATAAATTTTGGTGGGAAAAAATTCAATACCCATAATATCATAACAGAACATTCCCAACTCAATACCCGAGAGGTAGTATAATTTTATACTGCCTCTCGAGTATTGAATTAACGTCAAATATTTCTGAACAAAGTTGGCTTTTAAAGAACACTTCTTTAAAATCAAAAGCTACGTCATCGCTTCAACAAGAACCTACTGCAGGGAGACCTTGTGAGGCAGTAAACTCACAATTACTATTCATTTGCAGTTACAATTTAACCTTATAAAATTTGTATATAATTAAAAAAGTATTTTAATAGTATAAAATATGAGGGTGCGTTTCTCTAATAGTCCTTTTTTAAATGCCAACGTTTAAAAGTTGTCTCTGCATTAAAAAAAAAAACAAGAATTTGTTGCCTTCCATCTTGCTGATTTCTTGAAGAAGGATATCAATAAACTGCCAGTGTTGACAAAGATGCATCGACTGTATGGGTGATTTTACTTTGATTAATTTAAAAAAATATAGAAATAAAATACGTTAACGAATTTCATTAAAAAAACTTCTTTTGGTCTTTACCTATGATCTTATATAAGTAGTGGATTCTAATAACGCAATAAAAAATAAGTACCTATAGTATGTGCCAAATCGTTTGAGAAAAACGGACCATGACCTTTCGGTCGTTTAACCAGGGGCTACAAACCTTCAATATATAGGCACATTTTATATGTAGTACTTTCTTTATTTATAATGATTTTTTATTTTTTTTTATAATGATTGATATAATATATATTTATTAACTATTATTAAAAAGTTATGTAAAAGATCGCTGTAGAAGAAAAATCATCTATTGTTATAAAGTATTTTATTCATTTAACAACAAAAAACATTAATTTATAACACATATAAAGATTCGAGTGATAACGACACCGAATAAGTACGTACTTATTCAAAAAATAAAACTTTATTTTCAATATTATATAAGATCTTTACTTTTATCCGGTGCATGCGGACCGGCCCAAAGAAGGTGACGCATCTCTGGCTGCCATTGTCACGTTTCTTTTAGAACGACCTGATGTAACGCGCGTTTTGTTTATTTCAAAGGGATGATTTTGCAAAAGCTCAATATGGTGATTATATTGCTTCAAATATTTATTTTAATATGAAACTGTTATTAAATGAATTGCTGCGTAACTTACCATAAATTGATATATAAAATATAACACATTTTTCGCCATGTATCATAAGATTTTACGACGTTTATATTAACCACAGATAATATTATTTAAGAAACAAAAAACAAAACATATGTGCTGACTTAGAAGTGTGAATAATTTCAATATTTAAATTTTGTAATCACATCTAAATTGAGATTTTGTAAGTTACGCATATCTGAGGTCATTGCCCGTTTTTCTCAATCGATTTGGCACATACTGTAGTGCCAAGTTTTTACTAAATTAGTTTCAGTTGCCTAACGTTTTCTAAAACTCTAACTTGTCTAACACCTCGTAAAATTTTGAATTAGTCTTTAATATTTTCCAATTGTTTCTTTGCTGTATTATTAACGTACCAATGAAAAATAAAATAAACTGATGCATAACGCAATTAACCACTTCTTAGTACATATGAAATCCATATTATGTATCTGTGCTTCATAGAGTTTCGAATTGCTTTGTCAGAGATTCGAATGCTTTGTTATAGTCAACGAACGCGAAATAATATGAGCGTTCGTATTCGTTGCATTTTTCTATTATTTGTTTGATAAAGTGAATATGATCGATTATCGCGATATTGTTGCAAAATCCCGTTTTTTCTTTGACTCGTGCCTGATTACTGGTTAGTACTCTATCTAACAGTCCTAGAATTATCTTTATGTACACTTGGTACAGACATGCCATTAAGCTGATGGGTTTATAATTATTAATATAAGTTCTGCTCACTTCTTCATTCTATAATATTATTGTGAATGTCCATTGACATGAAATTTGTTCTACAGCAAGATTTTGTTAAAGATGTTTTTGAATGTTCTGTTATGATATTATGGTATATTTTGACAAGTTTCCCTTTTATTTTGTATTCTTATGATTTTACTTTGCATTATGAATAGTATTGATTATTTTCTGAAAGAGTCAGGGCGTGTGGTTGCAGGATGCCGTTCGCACAGTTCGCGCGCACGTTCTGGCGGCTGGAGCTGGTGCATATGGGGCCGGACGAGTGGGTGCGCGAGGCAGCGCTACGCGCGCGGCGGCCATGGCGCCTGGTGGTGGCGCGGCGCCGCTGGCGCGCCGGCTACAACGCGGGCGGGCCACCGCCGGGCCGCACAGCCGCCGCCAACCCGCAGTTCCGCGTGGCCGTGCCGCCGCCCGCCGCCGCGCATCCTGGTGCTGGCCGTGGCGCAGTGCTACGAGCCGGCAGCACCGCGCCGCCTGCGCGGCGTCGGCTTCGCGCTCTTCGAGCTACCGCCCGCCGCGGTCGCGCGCCGTGCCGCCCTTGCCACCGACGAGGATGCCTTCAAGCACTACGTCAGTACCCTCTTAATACCGAACGTTGTTCGCATTCACGTTACATTTTGCACTTGCCTTTTTACTTAGTATTTAATACTGACTAGAGATACCAGTAGTAAATAAAAAAAATCCGTTCAATAAGTAATATGTAATCATTGCTATAATAAAACTCCTACAAACAAACCACTATTATAATTTAATATAATAGTGTTTGCGCTCGATTGTTACAAGCGGTAGCTTGCGTACGCACGTCTAGAGCGGTCGATTTAAAGGTCGCGAGTTTTCGATATAATTTCGGCGTCACTTATAGACGGCCTCGATGGTGTTGTTTTGGATTATACGTTGCGAGCCTATTACAGTCTGATCTTAATTTGTTTCCGTGATAACGATGCCGAAATAATATAATCGTTTTGTAACCGTGTTAAGTATTGTGTGTCAATTGCGTGCGGCAGGTGTTGACTCGAGTGCCTAAGGCTTGTGTTAATTGAGCGCGCCATTTTGAATTTACTATTGAATATTGAAAGAGAAACAGAAACAGAAACTTTTTTATTCAATGTAGATTATAACAATACTTACTGAAAGTCACTTTTTAATTTACCACTGGTTCGCAAAAAAACCTCTGTCCTGGGAAGAACCAGCAAAAAACCCAGCGGGACTATTTTTTTACAATAATAGCTTACATACGCTTATATTACGTATTAGAATATATTTTAAACCGTCTCGAATTTAATTGTCTGGTTGTAAAGTGTTACGTGACAGGAGGCCTACTTGGAATTTGTAGTGATTAAAGGAACTTTTAAGCCCTTTAATTGCATCGACGAGTTAGTAGTTTTGTGCTACGTGAGTCTGGGACATTGAACTTTGACCAACCGTCCTTGAGTTGTACAGCGTGTCACTGTTTAACGTCGATTAACATTGATTTGGTTGAACTTGAAGTTAATTAAACGTACAATAAAGTGATAAACTAATATAGTGAAAGTAGAAGCGGAAGTTTTCCATCGTTGAATACCCCTTGGATGGATCCTACCATTGGAGAGAGGCAACGCCTTGGGATCTGCTGTCCAGGATCAGCGGGGATTTCAGATTACACATTAAACACAATATGGCACACCACTTACACGCACATCACCATCACCTGACTATTCCTGTGGTTAACCCCACTTCTGGAATTAAGTAAGTTTTGTGTTTGCGTACCTTTCTAATTTCATTATCCATAGGCCATTTTGGGACCGACCTTTTGTTACTCGTCGAGTTGGACTACTGGTGGGCCCTAGTTCAACGACCTTTGTCAGGGTAACTCTAGGCCGTAACATTGTGGTAGCAGAGCGTGGTTGCTTGTTTCGACAATCACTCCCGGCCGTAATACGTAATAATATTTTTTTTGTTTTGTTAGCGTGTTGTTTGTTCGCAGGTCGGTAGAATTTAGAGCCACGCCCGTAAGCGGCGTAAGCGGAGTGTAGTTTAGGTTTAGGTACCGTCACGCGTCGTGTAAGGTGGAGAATTATCGTTATCACATAATCACGTAATTATCGTATTATCGTTATTGCATTCGTATTGTAGACTAAATTGCCGAAGCGTCGGTCGCCTCAGCGTGGCGTCTTGTTTACCGACTGTAGTTAGTACTCGCGGTGGAGTAATTTTTTTTTTATTTATTTAACCGTAATTGTATTAATTAAATTAATTGTGTAGTGTAATTTGTACTTGATTTGATAAATAGTAATTTGTATTTGTAGTAATTTGTATTTAATTTAATTTGGTAGTACTTGTATCTAGTAATGATGCCATCGCACAAGTCACCGGCGCTTCGCTTGCAGGCTGAGCTGCGCTGGGCTGCGAACGCCCACAGCTTGATAACGCGACCAGATCGAGTCCATAGTTTAGAGAATCGGGCCGAGCAGGTCATGGCCCGAAGGGCCGTAGTTGAGGAGGCTTGCTCCGAGCTTATGGCCTCGGGAGCGGAACAAGGGTCCTAGACTCCTGCCTCGCGGACTACGAGCAATTTTTTTCGCTCACGGACGACTTGATCGAGGCGGGGGCCGTGTATGCTAGTGACGCACGTGAAGCTCGGCTGAGTGGCCTGCTCGAGTCCCCTCGGAAGCAGCCTACTCAGCCGGAGCTGTTGGGACGACTCCCAACTCTGGTCCTGCCAAGGTTCTCCGGGGTCCTCTCCGAATGGCTGACCTTTGTGGGACTGTTTGATAGCCTAGTGGACGCCTGAAGGGACTTGACACCAAGCCAGAAGATGGCTTACCTCCTGGCTGCACTGGAGGGGGAGGCCCTGGGCGCCGTCGGCCATTTGAAATTGTCGGACAACGCCTACCGGACCGCTCGGGACCTCCTCGCCGGAAGGTACGCCAACGTATGGCGAATCGCGCACGAACACGTCAAGCAGCTGTTAAACCTCCCGCTGCTTAAGGACCGGTCCAGACTACGGCAGGACCTCGTAAATCCATTCTTGGTGGCCTGCAATTCTTTGAGGCGGCTGGATTTACCGGTGGACTAATGGTCCTTTTTGCAGCTCCACATTGTGCTGTCCCACCTGCCCCTCGATCTTCGGATCTATTTCGAGGAGAGATACGGCGGGGATGGCGCCTCCTATATTCCGCCCTTCAGGGATCTGCTGCGGTTCTTGGAGGAGCAGTGCAGGCAGATTGAGGACGCAGCGGGCACCGTCAACGACCTACAGACTGCCGGCCGAGCCGTGCCTAGGGAGAGGCGGAGTCCCCCGGGCAAGTCGTCGTCAACCCCCCCTCAGACCGAGTGGAGCTCCCGCGAGAGGGCGCCGCCCCCTATCTTCTTGTAGTGGCCTAGTGGCCAGGTAGGCGCTCCCCTGCTTCTATTATCGAGCATCCGATCACCGGGTGACGTCGTGCCCTAAATTATTAGGTAAGCCGGTCCCAGCGAGACGAACCATCGCCAAGGAGCGCCACTGGTGCTACTCATGTTTGGAAAGGCACCTCCAACGAGACTGCCCGCACCAGCGGCCCTGACCGCACTGCCAGGGCAATCACCATGCCGTTTTGTGCCTGGATGCGAACGGCGCTTCCTCTCGGGTCTCTGCCAGGCCCACATCCCCCACGGGCGGGGGCGCTCAGCCACGCCCTCTGTCGGGCGACGCTCGCTCTCCAGACGGCAACCGTGCTCCAGGTTTTAGAGGGGGTCCCTCCCCCGACCGACCCAGGGGCGGGGGGCCGTCACCCCCGCTCAGCATATGGAGAGGAACTTCACAGCCACTCAGCGGTCAGCAAGACCCTTCTCTCCCCCGTTGGCTGAGAGGCCGCGACTGGAGTACCATCCTCCCCCTTTGGCCGGTACCGGTACTACGGGGTTCCTGCGACCTCCAACCTGTCCCGGGCCTCAAGGCCGAGGTTCCCAGAAGCTCCTCAGGTCGGCCCGTTCTGTTATTTTCAACCCCGGGTCGTTGAGATGCCACCGGATTTCCGCTTTTGGGACCCCGGTTTGAGTGCCGGTCCGATGGAGGCAGCTCCAACTAGGTAGCTGCCGCCCTAGCTCCTACCACGGCCGCCTCCACTGATCTTGTGAGTCGTCAGTCCACTTGTCAAACGGTTCTATTATCGACGGCCTCAGTGAAGGTGTACCACCCGAGTGGCGATTGTGTAACGGTTCGCGCTATATTGTATTCGGGTTCAAACGCGGTGTGGCCCCCACTTGCTTAGTGGGGAGACTAGGGCTTATCTGGAGCTTTGAATGCTTAGAAAAAAATTTTTTTGCTTTGTTTTTCCGCGTAAATGTTTCGTAGTTGTAGCGGTTTTGAGTAAAAAAGGTGAATTTGAAATGCTCTTGAATGCGTATATGTGTTTTTGTAAATGTATTTGATCATTATGTTTGCTTGTTGAAAAGAAAATTGAAATTGAGTAGCTATTTGTACCGAAGGAAATAAAAATTAATCCTTCTTTTGTATTCACATTTTGTTGGCATTGTCGAAGATATTTGTTTTGGAAAATATGGTTACTCTAATAATGGAATATGGTTATCTTTATGTTTATCGTTTGCTTAATTTATCTGTTTTGATCAATGCGCATCAAACGTTACCTTCAACGTTATATGTTGAAAGATTGTTAGTTGAGCTTACTGTCAGAGTTTGTGACATTTTACATTTTTTCGATGTAGCTCTTAAAATCTGTCCCTTTTGTTTTGTGGTTTTGTTCTTGTGTTTTTTTTCTCTTGTGTTTTATTATTATGCTTCGGTTGCTGTTAACTCACCATCATGATCAGAATGCGGCTAATTGTAGCTGGAGTTTTGGATTTTGGCTGGCCGACGCACTATTCGGAGCGTCGTTTTTGGGAACATACCTTGTTGTAGATTGAGGGCCACCATATCGCAGCCGATGATGGGTGACTTACCACCCAACCACGTCAGGGCCATTCGACCATTCGCTGCGGAACCGACTTTGCTGGCCCTTCCTCTTCAAGTCCTTTAACCTACTTCACGCGCGTTCACATAAGGCCTATCTGTGCGTTTTCTTGTGCCTCGCCACTAAGTCCGTTCACTTAAAACTTGTAAGTGCCCTCAGCACTGAAGTCTTTGTGGCCACTCTGGGCCGCTTCTTATCGCGTCGCGGTTTGCCGGACCAGATCCGGCCGGATTGCGGAACGGATTGTAGGGGCATGGATAGATATTTAAAGGAGGTCGAATTTCTGTCCAGCAACAGGATTTATTTAGGTTCTGTGATGTCCAAGAAGGGCATCCAGGGGAAATTTAACTCTCCGGCTTGTCCATGTTGAGGCGGTGGTTGGGGTTGCAAGAGCGCATCTCCGTCGCGTTAGTGGCCGAGGTTTTGGTTGGAAATTCGGTCTTGCAGCGTGCCGTCGCGACCTTAGCCCGGTTGCCAATTTACTCGCGGACATAGGTCCTTATGTCCGGGACGGGGGTTTATTTGCGCTCGATTGTTACAAGCGGTAGCTTGCGTACGCGCGTCTCGAGTGGGAAACCGGTTAGCGATGAGGGGCAGAGGGGCGCTTGCTATGGGCATGCGGCGGCCAGCGAGCGCATCGCGGCAGTCGGCCGAAAGACTTGATCGGTGAAACCGCACCAGCGGAACGTCTGGCGTTACGTAATCTCCCGGGTCGATTTAGAGGTCGCGAGATTTTGATATAATTTCGGCGTCACTTATAGACGGCTCGATGGTGTTGTTTTGGTCGTTAATATACGTGACAACGAGGCTTATTCTTGAGTTTATTTGCACGAAGCCCGGGTCGATTATACGTTGCGAGCCTATTACAGTCTGATCTTAATTTGTTTCTGTGATAACGATGCCGAAATAATATAATCGTTTTGTAACCGTGTTAAGTATTGTGTGTGAATTACGTGCGGCAGGTGTTGACTCGAATGCCTAAGGCTTGTGTTAATTGAGCGCGCCATTTTGAATTTACTATTGAATTTTAGAATATATTTTTGACCGTCTCGAATTTAGTTGTCTGTTTATGAAGTGTTACGTGACAGGAGGCCTACTTGGAATTTGTAGTGATTAAAGGAACTTTTAAGCCGTTAATTGCATCGACGAGTTAGTGGTTTCGATAATTGATAGAATCAGGCGTTACTTTGCGGAAATCCATTATAATAAAAAATAAAAATATAAATTTCTTTGCAACTTTCCGCTAAACATATAAAATGATGTGTCTTACCTGGAATGAAGCACACCTCCCGCCCTCCCTCAATTGCATACACTAACTCCGTCACCACTATACCAAGCACCACTACTCTCAACACCACTATTCCAGGCAAGACACACCATCGACGATAATACGACACGTGTTTCGCCTCTACACGAGGCATCATCAGGTAATATAGACTCTACGGCGGCTGACCGCTATTAGCGGAATAGTGGTGTTGAGAGTAGTGGTGCTTGGTATAGTGGTGACGGAGTTAGTGTATGCAATTGAGGGAGGGCGGGAGGTGTGCTTCATTCCAGGTAAGACACATCATTTTATATGTTTAGCGGAAAGTTGCAAAGAAATTTATATTTTTATTTTTAGTGGTTTCGTGCTACGTGAGCCTGGGACATTGAACTTTGACCAACGGTCCTTGAGTTGTACCGCGTGTCACTGTTTAACGTCGATTAACATTGATTTGGTTAAACTTGAAGTTAATGAAACGTACAATAAAGTGATAAACTAATATAGTGAAAGTAGAAGCGGAAGTTTTCCATCGTTGAATACCCCTTGGATGGATCCTACCATTGGAGAGAGGCAACGCCTTGGGATCTGCTCTCCAGGATCAGCGGGGATTTCAGGTTACACATTAAACACAATACGGCACACCACTTACACGCACATCACCTTCACCTGACTATTCCTGTGTATTCACTTCTGGAATTAAGTAAGTTTTGTGTTTGCGTACCTAACCTTTCTAATTTCATTATCCATAGGCCATTTTGGGCCCGACCTTCTGTTACTCGTCGAGTTGGACTACTGGTAGGCTCTAGTTCATCGACCTTTGTCAAGGTAACTCTAGGCCGTAACAAATACATAGAAATGATTCACGCACACATTTAAATTATTGCCATTTTAGTTTAAAAAGCAAGGAAGTATCATCAATAAATAATACTATAATATCACGATTATCCTCTACAAGGAAAGGTAAGTAATTTCTATAGAGTAGAAATAGAAAAGGGCCAAAAATTGAGCCTTAAGGGAACACTTTAGTACAGGTGACGCAGAAGAACTTTTTCCATTGATTATAACTTTCTGCGTCATATTACTTAAGTATGTGTGGCCGTGGAAGGAAAAAGGGGAGATCTCCCGCCGGGCAAGGTGTTCTGCCCGGGGAGCGGCCAACACTCCATGTGATAATTCGGAGATGTTCTATATATACTGTTTATGATTCGGAATGTTGATAGCGCGATTTAGGCTTCGGTGTGTTTTTTTCGCTTGTGGCGGCGACGACAGCGCCGCTACATCACCCCTGCTCAGACTGGAGGTCGATAGTGCAGTCGAGTTGTCGACGAATGTGCAAGTGCCAGGAGATTGCCTTGTAGTCTGCGGTGAGTCGAGAAGAAGGCAAGTAATCTGCGAGAGTGCCGTGAAGCAGAGGCGAGCAGTAAGGCTCAGAGCCGTGCTGAACACTGTATGGCGCAGAGAGTAGCTTGAAGGAACAGGAAGCATTATTATTCCAATGCTGCGATGAACCTTGTGAAGCTAGATGGCTTGCAGGATATGAAGACTGCAGACGATATCTGCTCGGGAGCGAATGGGTGGGGTATTCTATGACAATGATGAAGCTTGAAGTTTCCGAAGGTTGTTGGTTGCGTGTTCAGATCACGTCGGGGTCACCACTGTGGCCGTGGAAGGAAAAGGGGAGATCTCCCGCCGGGCAAGGTGTTCTGCCCGGGGAGCGGCCAACACTCCATGTGATAATTCGGAGATGTTCTATATATACTGTTTATGATTCGGAATGTTGATAGCGCGATTTAGGCTTCGGTGTGTTTTTTTTTCGCTTGTGGCGGCGACGACAGCGCCGCTACATATGAAATAAAAAGTTTAAGCATTGTGTTCTTAACTCTATAGTTATGTAATTTCCTGATTAATGTCTCAGGGTGAACAGAGTCAAAAATTCGCCTTGGAAAGATCATAAAATATACCCAAAGCATCCCCTGAAATCTAACTTGCATAAAAAAATGTTTAATAAGCTCAACACCGGCGTCACTTGTCCGATCCGATCCCTTGGAAAATAAAATGAAAAAAATTTTTATGAATCAATTTTATATAAAAAAATTACAATCTGTTCTAAGATTATTTTTTCAAAAATTATACTAAATATTAGTAGTACAGAAATTAGTCTAAAATTGGCGACACTGGCGGACTTGGGTCTCTCCCACAGTAAAGAAAGTTTTCCGTTATCACCACTTGGCACGCGGACTCATAATACCACACATTACATTACACTCTCACAATACTCGTAGTTTCCTATAAAGAAACTTGTACATTTGTTCTTTTCAATGACGTGACGTACTTTTTGTATGGTTCGCACAGCGACCGCTGGAGGCAGCACACGTTGGGCGCGCGCGTGAGGTGGCCGCCTTCGTGCTGCTGGCGCCGGGACACTACCTGCTAGTGCCGCACGCACGCCGCGCGCATGCCGAGGGTGCCTTCCTGCTGCGCGTGCTGTGCGACCGACGCGCCGATGTCTGGTACTGCCACTCGCTGCTCGCAGGCACGCTCGTGTCGGTGTCGCTGCGCTGGGACACTACCTGCTGGTGCCGCACATGCGCCACGCGCACGCCGAGGGCACCTTCCTGCTGCGCGTGCTGTGCGACCGGCGCGTCGACGTCTGGTACTGCTGCTTGCTGCTCGCTGGTTGCAGGCACGCTCGTGTCGTTACCGCTGCGCTGGGATACTACCTGTTGGTGCCGCACGCGCGCCGCGCGCACTCCGAGGGCGCCTTCCTGCTGCTTGTGCTGTGCGACCAGTGCTCCGACGTCTGGTACTGCTGCTCGCTGCTTGCTGCTCTCAGGCACGCTTGTGTCGGTGCCGCACGCGCGCCGCGCACACGCCGAGGGCGCCTTCCTGCTGCGCGTGCTGTGCGAGCAGCGCGCTGACGTCTGGTACTGCTGCTTGCTGCTCGCAGGCACGCCCGTGTCGGTGCCGTTGCGCCATTACACTACCTGCTGGTGCCGCACACTTGACTAGGCTGTTAAAAGCCTAGAGCTCCTGGACGTTCGAGTGTTTCAGCTTTGTATCGTTTACTTTTTTGAACAAATATCTTTATGTCTTTAAAAAATGAAAAGGAAAAATATTTTTTTACTAATGTAAACTCCTAACTGAGAGCATCGCGGGCCACCGACTGGAGGGGAGTAGCCATAGCATTTTTTCTCGATACAGATTTGTCATATCATTTTTGCGAGGGAAAATCTGCGCACAAAATAAACAATCTTCTGTCATTACGAAACTCACACATAACAATACACTAACAATTTAACACACACACTACATTACAACAGTATCGTTCGATGACAGCGACAACTCGGATACATCGCTCAGTCGCACTCGGATCAGTCGCTCGACCAATTTATGTACCGTATGATAACGAGCGGTCTGTGTTGGTAAACTAATCCGAAACAACACAACCGTTATTGTTGTAATTTTGAAGTTTAAAAAGGAGTAAATAGCACAAAGCAAAAATAAATAAAAATTACTTATTATAATTAAATTAAGAGCCGTGGTAGCTCAGATGGTTAACACTCCCCGCCAGCACCAATGAAATAGCTAATTGCAATTTTAAGTGCTGATTTACCACGTGCTCGGCGTTGAAGGAAAATATTGTAAGGAAAGCTGCATGTCTGAGGAATAAGGAAAAAAATACTTCAAAGATATGTTCAACACGCATTGGGGCAGCGCGATTTGCCCTAAAACCCTCTCAGAAATTAGGGGAGGCCTGTGCAAAGCAGTGGGACGTATATAGGCTGTAACTTTACTTTTTTACTTATTATAAGTAATATTATGGGGTATCTATATAGTTTTGTCATCTGGTTGGGTTCCATAAATATATAGTTGCGAACGGAAATGATAAATATACATAAATAACAATAATTAAAACAAATACATAAAAATACATACATAAATAAAAGCCCAACCAGATGGAAGCCCTCGACAGGGGAGATCAAACGGCCGGGGGTTAGGGGGAAAGTGAATGAAACCGATAGATAATGCGGGCGGTATAGAGAAGCACCGCCTTCTGCATTTGAGCTCGGAGCAGTCCGTCACGGAGTCCCAGTCGCCTCAGATGACCCGAGAAGCTGACTGGAATGAGCCCATTTGCAGAAACGACTAAAGGTATAATTTCGGTCGACAGCCTACCCCGCATGTCGGTTACCTCGTGAGCCAGGTCCAGATATTTTGTTCGCTTGTCTGTTTCGCTTTCACGAGGTTCTCGTCATACGAATGGTAATGTCGACCAAAAATATCCTTGGCTGTGCCCGGTCCGTCAGCACAATATCAGGCTTATTCGCAAGAATAGTCCTGTCTGTGATGATGGCCCTTTCCCAGTAGAGCCTGGCGCGGTCATTTTCGAGCATGGCTTCCGGCAAACACTTGTAATACGGCAATTTCCGGTCCACGAGACCGTATTTCAGAGCGAGATCCTGGTGTAGAATTCTGGCTACTAGGTTGTGCCTGTGCAAATACTCAGAGTTAGGAAGCGCCGAACAACCGGAATGACATGCCTAAGTGACTCACCGGGATGACGACAAGCTCGATATATGTCGACGGTGCCATCCTTGTGGAGCTCCTTCTCCTTCCATACGGTCTCCCGGTCGGAAATGCTAAGGACTGCTGGGACCTGCCATTGCTCGTTGGCTAAGGATAGAGGGGTAAGCCCTTTATCACTAGAAATGACGTCATTATAGAATGGATCATCCAATCTCGCCAGGAAGTAATGACGGAGGCTGCACTCTTCGCGATTATGCATGGTGAGTGCGCTCAGAAAGCCACGCTCACCATGCTTTCACGGCAAGTACAGCCTCATTACCGACGATCTCGGATGATGCATCCTATGGGACGTCATGGTAGTGCGGACTTTTCTATTCAGGGCGTTAAGTTCAGTCTGAGTCCACCTGAGTATGCCAAGGGTATACATGAGAACAGGCATGACCCAACCGTTATATGCATGTGTCTTATTCACACCGGACAAAAGGCTGTTAAGCACTTTGGTCAAGCGTGCATAAAACACGTCGCAAACTGACTGTTTCATACCAGCCTCATCCATACCGATGTTCTGTGATATACCCAGGTATCGGTATGTTTCAGCCTCGGAAAGGGTCCTTAAGTTAACGGGCAGAGTTAAGTCTATGCCTTCAGAGTTAGCAACCCTTCCCCTTTCTACATGGAGGACCGCACACTTATCCGTCCCCAGCTCCATTCCAATGGAATTACTAAATTCACAAGTGATGCTTAGCAATTCCATAAGATGGGAGCGACTTGAGTCGAATAACTTAAGGTCATCCATATAGAAAAGGTGGGTCACTTTTGTACCTCCTTTCCGGAGCTGAAATCCCCTCCCGGAGCCCTCCAGTAAGATACTGAGAGGGTTCAGAGAGAGACAGAACCAGATTAGACTCAGAAAATCGCCCTGGAAGATACCCCTTCTTATCCTTATGTGGTTCTTCGCAGCCATCATCTGCTCGCCCAGATGACAAAGGATCGTACTCCACTGCCCCATACACTGCTCGAGGAAGTCTCTAACTGTATGGTATGGTATCTTGTACAGCTCGAGGACTCTCTTTAGCCTTTCTGTAGTCTATCCAGGCGGCGGAGAAGTTCCGACGATTGCGTTTCACCACTTTGCCAATGACCGCGTCAATGAGGAGTGGTTCCTTGGTTCCACGACCACCGCCCCTACATCCATTTTGAGCGCGTGACATCACCTGATTTAGCTCCAGGTGACGAGTGATTCTCGTGCTCCAAATGGATGTCAGTGTCTTATATATGGTGGGTAGACACGTGATGGGGCGGTATTTGTTCGGGTATATAGTATCCTGATCTTTAGGAACCAAGCGAGTGATCCCAGTAGTGAGGAGGCTTGGGAGCGACTTCTGATCGAGAGCCTCTTGAAACTGTCGGGCGAGCACAGCGTGACACACTACGAACTCCTTCAGCCAGTAATGATGCAGCCCGTCGAGCCCCGGACTTTTCCAGTTCGGGGCCCTACGGACCGCCTCATTTACGTCTTCCGGCGTTATGGTGACGGGGTCCGTAAGCGTAACATTTGCACTTTGGCTCGCCACAACTTCTATCCACGGGCCCTCGCTGTAGTTTACGGGCTCTGACCGCAGGCCACGCCAAAATGCGACAGTGTTAGCCTGATCCGGTCCTGGGCCTGCTCCACACACTGGTCGCTCCAATGATTTATAGAGCCTCTTCTGATCACTCTGGAAGAGTCGATTCTGGTTGAACCGTGTCGACCTCTCGGTATCCATCCGCTTTCCCCAAGCAGCGATTCTTTGCTTCAGGTCGTTTATGTGCTCCGTCAGTTTTTGCATTATATCCGGCTGGGAGAAACTAACATTTGTTCCAGCAAACGCCATCCTGACGGTGCGCACAATCCTTGGCCTGGTATTGCCTGACCTGAAGCATATCAGTCTGCCGATGAGGGCCCTAGCTTTTGCGATACGTTCTTCAATTCTTATTCTCCAGGCTCGGATAGCACTACTTTGTCCAGTAGCGCGTCCAGCTGTGGAAATTTGGCGCCAATAATACGGCAAACTGACAGTGCGGCGCCAAAAAGAATTGAGTCCGTCTCGCAAAGGTCCCGGCTGGCTTCCAATAGGTTACCAGCATTGGGTTAAGAGCCCTCACGACAGCCCGATTTCGCTTGCTTAGGGGTATGCGGGGAAGTTGTGGTCGTTTATTGAGAGGCATGCTACGCGTTTCCAAAATCGCCTCTTCCAATATACTCCTCATTTGTCCTAGTTTGATGGAGACCATTTCATCATCGTCCGAATCAACCACAACTGAAAGATCCATGGCGGCTTCCAAGCGTGGATGCTGATCCGTCGCCTGAGGAGCCGCATCCCCAGCCATAGCCAATTCATTCGATGAGGGAATGGCCTCACGTCGTAGTCGTTCGAGCTCGGCATCATCAAATATTTTCCGTGGGTAAGCGTAAGGTCTTGTTCCGTGACAGGAATAGATGGCTCCAGCTCAGCAAAAAAGCAATGCATACGAGCCCGATACGCTATCCCTGCAGTTTCTTAAGTAATATATTATTAATAAATTTCTTAAGTAATATTATTATTATTATTTCTATTTTTTTATATGAAAGTTGATGCCTTCTTTTTTTAAATTTGATGTATCAGATCTCTTATTTATGAGCAAAAAAACAGAACATTTCGACATTTGTGTGGGATGCCGATTCAGCTGCGCTACTAGATTTAGTCTGGTGAACAGTTCGGCTGCAACTAGTTTTATTGTACGCACTGGATCGCATGAACTTATACTTTGACAGATGGGAACGCCTGCATATGACTACTCCCCTTCGAACCGCCGGTGGCCCGTCGTGCTCTAGATTCCTAACTTTTTGTTAACTATTGCTAGTAGGTTCTTTATGCGTCATTTCCAATTATGACTTTGATTTAAATGGGCTTCTAACATAATCAATGTTATAATTTTCATTACATTTTTGTCCACAGGGAAGTGAACGACGACAATGTCATCATCAGAGATATAAACACTGAATTCCAGGACGATGGCCGCTCTATACCGGTACTTCATTATGGTTTATTTTGTATCAAATTTCTTACTATTAATAAACGTTTCTTTCATAAAATAATTTTATCTTTCTAGCCGCACGTTGAAGCAGCCATTTCTAAAGTAATTCGGAAGCAGGGTTCCGACGAGGTAATATTTTTTTATCATATATTTATGTACACACAACTAGCCACACACACAATTATATAGTGAGTTTGTATAAAGATACCTAAGTTCGTAATAAGATACAAAGATACTGATTCCATAATATATAGAAATATCTTCCAGTGGCCCCGTACAGGAAAAAAAGAAATCCTAGCATGTACATCTCTAATGCATAAATAGTGTATGGATCATATAAATACAATAACAGAATCTAGGGATATATTATATTTCATCAAATATTTAAAAAATCTATGGAGAATTTTCTGATATAGGAAATGGAAGATTTAGGATTTTTTGAAGGTTATTTTAAGGTTTTTAATAAAAAAACATTTCGTAGTTTGTTGTTTTAAATAAAATTTTCGATTTTTTTATCGAAGGAGCGTTATCGTGGATGAGATTCCTGGCCAATCTTACAATAATCGAAAATATATACACAATAATAAAATAAAAGATCCAAACTCACTCCCGCCCACCAAAATGTGCCCATCCTGACAAATAACAGCCCATCCAGATTATAAAGAGAAGTTTTCAGTTCAAAAAGATAGTTTGTTAGGTGGTGTGTACGGTGTGCAGGTGGACGCGTGGGCGCTGCGTGCGGTGTTGCGTGGCGTGGGCGGGGCGTGGGGTGCGTGGGACGCGTGCGGCGGCGCGTCGCTGGAGCTGTGCCGCGCGCTGGTGGCACTTCGCGACGGCGCGCTTGCGGGCGGTTGGCGGCGCGCGAGCTAGCGCCGCTGCTGGCGCTGTTGGCGCTGTGGCGCGCCGCCGTACGCCGCCATGCGCGTCGTCGCCGCGTGTCCGCGTACCGCCTGCGCGCGCTGCTGTGGGCGGCCGGCGTGGGCGCTAGCAACAAGGTGCTCGAATGCCTCGTGCTGCGCTTTGCGACCCGCACCTCGCTCTCCACCGACGCCTGCCTGTTGGCGCTGGCGAGGCTGCACCTCGCGCACGGTAGGCGCCGCGCACGCATGCACACACACCCACATGGAACCTTCGGCTTCCTCGGCAAAAAACTACAACTAGCCAATATATAGACACACCACTACAACTGTTAAATTAAACGTAAAGCTAACACTCCACGTGATGGTCAAACCTCTTCAACTTTTAATATAAAAAGCTACGCTTTGTTGCCCTTGAGGACTTGGGAGAATCCAAACACAGTCTGCAATACAGAATTCTCAATCAAATGGGAAAACTAACACTTCACTTGGTGATCAAATAAAAAGGCATTCTTACCCTTGAGGACTTGTGTAGAACTCAATCACAGTTTGCACCTATACAGGCTCGTTACCCTTTAATCCATACTAATATTATTGTAGGGGGGTATTTTGTGAATTGTGACCCTCTACATATAATTGATATGTAGTATATTAATGTAGGTTGTATCTTCTACGTTACGGGATGTGGTAATTAAAACTGTGTCCGTTTCCGTAGAGAGCGTTTATTGTACTGAAAATACTTATGAATAAAAAATGTAATTATAGTGAACGTGTCGCGCGCGCAGGCGCGATATCAGCATTATTTTCTAAACTGTTGAAATATCATGTACTTGCTCGTACATCTTGCCAATTTTATAAACAAGAAGAAAGTTTAAGGCGATGAACCCCTATTGAGTTTACGGGCAGCCGTTGCGATCACCGCATCCACACTATCGATGTCCGAGACCCCAAGCTCCGATGAATGTCCTTGGGTTGGCTGCTCGACATTGTTGGGGTCTGGCTTGTCGCGAAGATTCACGCTGCAGCCTTGACATCTTCTTTTCAGCCGGAATGTCCCCCATGCAATGAAGGCTACAATAATAAATCCGACTACGGTGTACAACACATAGTTGTGTGTGTCATGTGTGAGTGATTGTACACTCAGTGTTTGTTGCTGTTCCTTGACCTTATCAATGTTGTTTTTCAGCTCTTGTAAGGCGTCTTTATGATCTTCAGGTCCAAATGTATGATTAAAGTCTGTCAGTATGTGGTTCAGGCTTGATTCACGCATGTACATTCTTTCTTCACTGCCTGTTAGTTTCAACTCGCTGTGATAGTCGTTGTGAGCATGAATGATGAAGCTTTCTCCCTTGAGCATACACCCAAGTCCGAGTAACATAATCCCCGTGCCGTGTAAGTGCTGTGACGTCACTCCAGCTGGGCAGAAAATGCGCATCGTGCAGTCTTCGCAACAGGAGAACAGCCACGCGCCACGATTGTGTAATCGCACCCACCTGTCGTTGCAATCCAATACTCTTGTGCGGCATGTTGATGAGTCGCCATTGTTTAATATTTGCGCTTCACATAATGTATCGGCTACCTTAATGTTGTAAATAGGTTGATTGATAGCACATAACATTTTGTTTTCTTGCAGATTTAAGCATGATGATACATCTCGGTTTTGTAAGGGTATTATCATGTCCCCTTTTAGGTTTACAGCAAGGTATTCAGATGTGAGTACTATAGTTTTCTCTGTGTGTCCAGTTATTTGCGGAATAGGAATGATGTGGTTAAGTTCATATTGTTCGTTGTTTATTAGCGGTAGCTTCACTTCGAATATTATGTATGCACTTGTTAAGCGCACGTGCACTCGCGCCAGCTTGTATAGGCTTCGCGTGCAATGGCGTGTGTTCACACAGGGTAGCGATAACTCGCTTGGTAAATGACCGGAGATGATGTTAAGCTGATCTTCAAATTGGTTGGGCTTGATGAGATGGGTGTCAACTCTCCCGTCCTTCACGTCAGTTACTAGGTCTAGGAGTTGCTGTTGTATTTGTCGTATGTTTGAAATGATCAAGTTCACGGCCAGAGCGGTAGCTGTTATGTACATAGCATTGTCATGGCTGATTTGTATGCGTTTTTCCGTTTCAGCGAGATGATTGTCGATGATACGAAATTGTGTGTTCATTACTTCCTCGTTTCTTTTTAGAAGATTATATTCACTTTCGATGATCGATGTGTGATTTTTGTAGAGATTCAATAGATGATTTTCGTTTGACTGGATTATGTTGATATCCTTCACGTACTGATTGGCAAATCTCTCATCCAGAGTACCAAAAAGGGAGTTTGCTAGGTATCCTATTCCATTCACTAGTCCTCTTTTTCTTCGAGACGGTCCATGTTCTGATCGTAAGATATCGTTATAGTGTTGAATTTCGTTAAGTTCGTGTTGAAACTGGGATGAAATTGTAAGATAGGCTGCTTCCTTCTTGCATAATGTGTTCAAATGGTTGACATAGTTTTGTATGTTGTCCAAACTCCGCCAATATGTCGTCATGTTGTAGTATACAACCATTTTCCACTTATCTTGAATAATCTGCACATCAGACACCTTGTCAAAATAAACGACTCTTGAACTGCTAAGCCTTGTTATGTTGATCATTTGTTGCGTAGTAGGTCCAACACACATCGAAAATATAAGTAGTAACGTACAAAAAAGGTTGTTGAAGTGTTTTTTGCCGTTGTTGTTTCTTCGTTTTCTTTGTGTATTTATTGGAGGCTTCGTAGTGTCAACGTCAGAAGATGCAGTTGTATAAGATGACGGATCCAACGGAAGGCGTGACAATTTTGTAATCGGTCGCTTCATATTACTTGTTTTAGTTTTCAGTGTGACGACTCGTACCCGGCCGTCCGCACCTGGGTGAGTCTCCAACACCCGTCCCAGGATCCATTTGGCAGGAGGAATGTTGTCTTCTCTGACGATAACGACGTCCCCAACTTCTAAGTTTTTAGTAGGGAAGTGCCATTTGCTTCGAGTTTGTAGAGTTTGAAGATAGTCAGTAGACCACCTTCTCCAGAAGTCCTTGTACATTTTCTCCGTAAGTTGCCATCTTGTAGAGAAGGTCATGTCATTACCCTCAGCGGATAGTGGTGATTCTAGAGAAGGCTCGCCGATTAGGAAGTGAGCTGGTGTCAAGCAGTCAAGGTCTTCGATATTCTCTGACAACGCCACCAGGGGGGCGAGAGTTGAGACATCCTTCAATCTGCGCCAACAGTGTAGAAAATTCCTCGAACGTAAGTTTTTGATCCCCAAGTACTCGTTTGAGGTGATGTTTCAGGCTTTTTACTGCAGCTTCGTAGAGTCCACCAGCAGTAGGCCAGAAAGGGGCGTTAAAATGCCATTCAATGCCCCACTCTGACATGTTAGTTATGACGTCATTGTTTATGTAGCATTGTAATGCCTCCTTTCGTTGTGTTTCCAATGCTCTTGCTGCGCCCACGAAGTTGGTGCCGTTGTCGCTGTAGATGTGACGGGGCTTTCCTCGGCGGGCACACATTCGTTTCAAGGCGTTCAGAAAAGCCACTGTGCTGAGATCGGAGACAAGTTCGAGGTGAAGAGCTTTTGTGCACAGACACACAAATACAGCTACGTAGGCCTTCATTGTCTTTATTCCTCTGCCCTTGTTAGCCTTTACCTCCACATGCCCAGTGAAATCTACACCGGTGTGTGTGAAAGGCCTTGATGGTGTGACGCGTGGAGGAGGTAAATCACCCATAAGTTGGTTGTTGTTGATAGTTTTGAAGCGATGACACGTGATGCACCGTATAAGTCGTTTTTTCACTGCTCTCAAACCGCTGATAATCCAATATCTGTTGCGTAGATATGACAGAGTTAGTCTGGCCCCACCATGCAGGGTCCTCTTGTGCGCTTGGTCGATCAGTAACTCCGTTAACCTGTCATTGTAAGGTAAGATAATTGGATGTTTTTGTTCTTGACTTAAGTTGGCATTTTCCAGACGTCCTCCTACACGTAAGATTTCGTGTTTGTCCAGGAATGGATTTAAGTTTAAAATGCTGCTTGTTATTCGCACTTTATGATGTTTATTGAGTTGTGCAATGTCGTCGGCGAAATGATTAGTTTGTCTAGCCTTGATAATTGCATTATGTGCGTTCTGCAGGTCACTCGTTGCTAAGTACGATGACCGCATGGCATTGTTGACGTCACGTGCATTGTTTATGAACCGAAGTATCCAACTTAGGATTCGAGTTACGCGTGCCATACAGCTGTGTTTGTTTAAAAGTTCTCCGATTAATGGCATCGACCTTTGTGACACGCAAACTTGTTTGACCTTTTTCTCTTCAACAGTTGTGTGGAATTGGTCTTGAAGTGGGAGATCGTTGTCTTTTAGCCAAATAGGTCCCCACCATAAATGATGATTCGCCAGTTGTAGTGGAGTTAGGCCTCTGCTGGCACAATCTGCTGGGTTATATTCAGACTTGACGTGCCTCCAGCATCCCGATGGCATGATGACAGTGATCTGTGTTACGCGATTAGCCACAAATGTAGTCCATCTTGAAGGCCCCCTTGTAACCAACCCATCACGATCATAGAATCTGTCCAACCATGTATTGTTACAATCTGTGAGTTTATTGACTCTATGACCTTTTTCATAAGTCAAGACAGTAGTAGGGCACCGCATAGTTCAAGCCGTGGTAAAGACGGGGGTTTTCTTAATGGTGCGAGCTTAGTTTTTCCCGCCACCAGCGTGATAATTTGTTGCCCTTCTTCACTAATAGATTTACAGTAGATAACGCAGCCGTAGGCTTTCTCGGAGGCGTCACTGAATCCGTGTAACTCGATGGGCTGTTTAGTGTTACCAATCCAGCGTTGTAAAGCGATGGTATTGATAGTGGGCAATTCTTGTTGAAAGGTTGTCCACTCTTGTTGTATGTCTTCCGGAAGAGGTTCATCCCAATTTGTTGAAGCAAGCCAAGCTTGTTGAAATATGAGTTTTGCCTTCATTGTTACCGGAG